CTCTACACCCAGTGTAGTGAGTCTCCAGGCCTCTACACCCAGTGTAGTGAGTCTCTAGGCCTCTACACCCAGTGTAGTGAGTCTCCAGGCCCTCTACACCCAGTGTAGTGAGTCTCCAGGCCCTCTACACCCAGTGTAGTGAGTCTCCAGGCCCTCTACACCCAGTGTAGTGAGTCTCTAGGCCTCTACACCCAGTGTAGTGAGTCTCCAGGCCCTCTACACCCAGTGTAGTGAGTCTCTAGGCCTCTACACCCAGTGTAGTGAGTCTCTAGGCCTCTACACCCAGTGTAGTGAGTCTCTAGGCCTCTACACCCAGTGTAGTGAGTCTCTAGGCCTCTACACCCAGTGTAGCGAGTCTCTAGGCCTCTACACCCAGTGTAACGAGTCTCTAGGCCTCTACACCCAGTGTAGCGAGTCTCTAGGCCTCTACACCCAGTGTAGCGAGTCTCTAGGCCTCTACACCCAGTGTAGCGAGTCTCTAGGCCTCTACACCCAGTGTAGCGAGTCTCTAGGCCTCTACACCCAGTGTAGTGAGTCTCTAGGCCCTCTACACCCAGTGTAGTGAGTCTCTAGGCCTCTACACCCAGTGTAGTGAGTCTCCAGGCCTCTACACCCAGTGTAGTGAGTCTCTAGGCCCTCTACACCCAGTGTAGTGAGTCTCCAGGCCTCTACACCCAGTGTAGTGAGTCTCTAGGCCTCTACACCCAGTGTAGTGAGTCTCTAGGCCTCTACACCCAGTGTAGTGAGTCTCTAGGCCTCTACACCCAGTGTAGTGAGTCTCTAGGCCTCTACACCCAGTGTAGCGAGTCTCTAGGCCTCTACACCCAGTGTAGTGAGTCTCCAGGCCCTCTACACCCAGTGTAGTGAGTCTCTAGGCCTCTACACCCAGTGTAGTGAGTCTCTAGGCCTCTACACCCAGTGTAGTGAGTCTCCAGGCCCTCTACACCCAGTGTAGTGAGTCTCCAGGCCTCTACACCCAGTGTAGTGAGTCTCCAGGCCCTCTACACCCAGTGTAGTGAGTCTCCAGGCCTCTACACCCAGTGTAGTGAGTCTCCAGGCCCTCTACACCCAGTGTAGTGAGTCTCCAGGCCCTCTACACCCAGTGTAGTGAGTCTCCAGGCCTCTACACCCAGTGTAGTGAGTCTCCAGGCCCTCTACACCCAGTGTAGTGAGTCTCCAGGCCTCTACACCCAGTGTAGTGAGTCTCCAGGCCCTCTACACCCAGTGTAGTGAGTCTCCAGGCCTCTACACCCAGTGTAGTGAGTCTCCAGGCCCTCTACACCCAGTGTAGTGAGTCTCCAGGCCCTCTACACCCAGTGTAGTGAGTCTCCAGGCCCTCTACACCCAGTGTAGTGAGTCTCCAGGCCCTCTACACCCAGTGTAGTGAGTCTCCAGGCCCTCTACACCCAGTGTAGTGAGTCTCCAGGCCCTCTACACCCAGTGTAGTGAGTCTCCAGGCCCTCTACACCCAGTGTAGTGAGTCTCCAGGCCCTCTACACCCAGTGTAGTGAGTCTCCAGGCCCTCTACACCCAGTGTAGTGAGTCTCCAGGCCCTCTACACCCAGTGTAGTGAGTCTCCAGGCCCTCTACACCCAGTGTAGTGAGTCTCCAGGCCCTCTACACCCAGTGTAGTGAGTCTCCAGGCCCTCTCACACCAACAATAATCAACGCCTGTATTTCAGAAAATAAAATAACAAACAAAAAGAAACTCGCCGAGAAAGCTAAGGCACATTCGTGTCTCTTCTTCAACAACTGAAGTTCCAGCGAAAAGACTTTGCAAGCTCTTGGCTGCAACCTAAAATTGCAACGTATTTGTTGCAAATTGATGCAATGTAACTTTGTCGTTCTTCTCGCCAATCGGGTAAGATAGATTTGGCCGGTGGCTTGAATTCGTTCGTTTTGGGGTTAGACAAAACAGTCGCTATTTGTTACGGAGTGTCTGATAGCGAGAATGATGTGTTGCATCTGGTCCCTGTGGCATCGTTTGTGAGAGTGACTTGTAAAGCTTGAGACTGTTAATCTCTTGAGTTGGTGTGGTCTCAAATTTGATCAGCATTTAGCATCACATATGGCCAGCATTTAGCATCACATATGGCCAGCATTTAGCACCACATATGGCCAGCATTTAGCACCACATATGGCTAGCATTTAGCACCACATATGGCCAGCATTTAGCACCACATATGGCCAGCATTTAGCACCACATATGGCCAGCATTTAGCACCACATATGGCCAGCATTTAGCACCACATATGGCCAGCATTTAGCACCACATATGGCCAGCATTTAGCACCACATATGGCCAGCATTTAGCATCACATATGGCTAGCATTTAGCACCACATATGGCCAGCATTTAGCACCACATATGGCCAGCATTTAGCACCACATATGGCCAGCATTTAGCACCACATATGGCCAGCATTTAGCACCACATATGGCCAGCATTTAGCACCACATATGGCCAGCATTTAGCACCACATATGGCCAGCATTTAGCACCACATATGGCCAGCATTTAGCACCACATATGGCCAGCATTTAGCATCAAATATGGCCAAAAGCTAACATCCGGATCACTCCTCCTCCTCTAGTGTTCTTGAGGATAATTGTGCAATCATGGATCAAAACACACACACGCACACACACACGCACACACACACACACACACACACACACACACACACACACACACACACACACACACACACACACACACACACACACACACACACACACACATGTACGTAAGTTGCGGAACCAAAGAGCCAGAGCTCAACCCCCGCAAACACAGCTATGAGAGCACAACTTGGTGAGTACACACGCACACTTTCACAGTCTTTTCCTTTCACGGAACATAAATAATACAGCAACTCATCAACCCCTAAAGCCCGACCAACTGTGAGAAAATACAGCTGTATCCAGGAGCTGTATTTCATCCTATACAACTCCCATGTGAAAACCGAAGACCTTTCACCAGGCGATAAGTTGGCTGGGCTAGAAAGCAAAATTGATTTATCAGAATCATTAGTTTATTGTGAGGATTTTCCTCGCTTTCGCAGTGGAAAGGAGAGAGGAGATGTAACCGATAAGGAGAGCGAAGGGGAGGGGAAGAAGATGGGAACTAGAGAGAAGTTGAGAGAGATCATGTGAGAGGAGGGGAGAGAACATAGAAATGGATGATAGATGAACAAGGAAGAGAAGAAGGGCTTGCAGAGAAGGGCCATTAATGAATTAGAATCAGAAATCTAAACTTTATTTGTAAGAACTTGAACAAATCACCACAGTAGGGACTGGACTAAACAGCTTGTTTAGCTGTCCAAATTAAATTTATATTTTTTTGACATCAGTTTAATAGCATTTAGCTTACAATTTGAATGGTGATATTGATTGGTAACTCAATTTAACAAAGGACAGTTTACCATTTGAGCGGTGAGTCAGATATTGGCAAACCACAGGTTTACACAATTAGAATGACGGGAAGAAAATTGGAAGAACTAATGTAAACTAAATCACTATGAACTTCATATAGAAATTTGTACATCTTCTTCATTGTACATCAACAGATTCTTGGGCTATCCCGGACCAAGATCACTCCACACTCTCAGCTCCTGCAACCTCATAGATCACTCCGTACTCTCAGCTCCTGCAACACCATAGATCACTCTGTACTCTCAGCTCCTGCAACACCATAGATCACTCTGTAGTCTCAGCTCCTGCAACACCATAGATCACTGTGTACTCTCAGCTCCGGCAACACCATAGATCACTGTGTACTCTCAGCTCCTACAACACCATAGATCACTCCACACTCTCAGCTCCGGCAACACCATAGATCACTGTGTACTCTCAGCTCCTGCAACACCATAGATCACTCCACACTCTCAGCTCCGGCAACATCATAGATCACTGTGTACTCTCAGCTCCTGCAACATCATAGATCACTCCATACTCTCAGCTCCTGCAACACCATAGATCACTGTGTACTCTCAGCTCCGGCAACACCATAGATCACTCTGTACTCTCAGCTCCGGCAACACCATAGATCACTGTGTACTCTCAGCTCCGGCAACACCATAGATCACTCTGTACTCTCAGCTCCGGCAACACCATAGATCACTCTGTACTCTCAGCTCCGGCAACACCATAGATCACTGTGTACTCTCAGCTCCGGCAACACCATAGATCACTCTGTACTCTCAGCTCCGGCAACACCATAGATCACTCCACACTCTCAGCTCCGGCAACACCATAGATCACTCTGTACTCTCAGCTCCGGCAACACCATAGATCACTCCACACTCTCAGCTCCGGCATTATAGACCCGACTTCAACAGGACTCAAAATAGGCTATAAGAAGCCACGTTTTCGTGATAATAGTTTCTTCATAATTCTCAATATCCAGCTGAGTCTTTCTGTTGTGTAGATGGCCAACCTTTCTCTTTGTGTAGATGGCCAACCTTTCTCTTTGTGTATCTCTGTGTTACTCTGGCCAACTCTTTCTGTGGTGTAGATGTTTTATTCTCTCCTGTGGACGTCCTTCACCAGCTATATACACTAACCATTCTTTAGTCGTGTTTCCTAACAATCAAGTTGAAATTTCTGGAACAAATTTTTAGTGGTGAGTGTTAGAAAAAGCTGATTCTGGAGAGAATCAGTTTGTTAGGTGAGTGATTCCCTTCAGACAAAAGGATATCATTTGTTTGTCAGTTATTTCTTTCAATTTTGGTATGGACATCTGACAGGGAGGAGGCAGAGGAGGATGAGGAGGTGGAGGAGGATGAGGATGAGGAGAAGGAGGCTATCCTGGCACCGAGTGCCAGGATAGCCTCCCAAGACACGTATTGAACATTCCTTCCATTCACAATCTATCTTACCCAGGACAGCATTGTCTATGTCTCAGTCATTACTCACTTAGGCATTAACTGGTAAATAAGTTTACTTTTAACCAGGCATTAAGATGACTAAACTCGATCATATTTTGCTCATTTTGCTCTGTCAGATTTCTGTAAGGATCCGGAAAAAATTGGCCATTGGGTCCTTTGATGATAACATGTCCAAGATGCTCTTCAGAACACTTTACTGAAATCTTTATTCCTGGTAATTCCGGTTTGGGATCGAGATAAAGACGAGTTCTGAGAGTTAAACACAACAGCGGCACATTTGACAACATTGAAAGTGTGGTTGTATTCAGCACGATGTCTTAAACATATTTCTTTCAAGCTTTCCAGAGGAGCTTTGGTTGGTCCCAAGTACAGCCAGGTCTTTAGCCTTACAGAAAGCTCTGGCCTTATTAGTGCCTTTTTTTTTGGGGGGGGGGGTGGAGAGTAAAGAGGATGGAGAGGGATAGGTGAAGGAAAGTTTAGAAGGGGAAAATAGAGTGAGTGTTAGGAAAGCAGGCGGTGGGCTGTCCGCCTTGCTGACACGATGTGTGGGTGTTGGCAACTAAGCTAAGCTTGCCTCTCTCTTGTCAGGGAGCTGTGAGTGTGTGAAAGGTTCTTCACGTGTATTTCAGCATATATGAATGTCTATAGATGAATACTTATAGATGAATACTGTGTGGCATTCATATATATATACACACACCGATGCTTCCACACATGTTGTTTTGTTTAAGGCTCTTTATTTTTGTTTTTATTTTTATTTATTGAGTTATTTAATGATTTATTATTACTGCCTATGTGGCAAACAGCTCTATTGGCTAATAACTTATTTTTCTTTTCTTAACATTGAATAAAAATACACAACAAATAATACAGGGTTAAAAATAGCACCATGTATGACGCCATGTTTTAGTGAGAATTTTTCAGAGGTAAATTTTTTTAGTGAGGAATTTGTCAATTTCAGAATTTTTTCAATTAACTTCATTAAAAAACTTATTTTCATACCTGATAAATATATAAATATCTAACAGTTACAGGGCATGCCTTTCTACTAAGCAATTCTCTGAAAAGTTTGGTGTGTTTATTGTTAAAAACTTTAGAAACATCAAGAAACAGAGAGAGAGAGAGAGAAGGGAACTATCCTGTGAATTGTAATACTGAACAGTTTCAGCCAACACAGAACTACAAAGCATTGTTGAGTAACTCGTTTTGTTATGCAAATGGAAAGTCAGAAGTGACTAGTTTGCCAGCTACAAAGTTAATGATGATATAATCCAATTGTTCAATAGCGTGTTTAAGGCAATACTGTATATCAGTATATCACTGCATATATCATAGTAGGATATTGAAGCTTGGCTGTTCTTTGTTATGGGGATAATTAGTGTAGGGAAAACTGACTCGTGGGATTTATTGATTTAGCAATTTATATAGTAATTTATTTCTTAGGTTAATTAATTTATTTCAATAGCAGACTGTATGAGTTTATTCCCACATCGTTTCCAACACATTCTGGGGGAGGGGGGGGGGGGGATGAGAGAAAATAAGAGAAAAATTGAAAATAAATTTGGGATTTTTTTCCAAAACAGTAAGTTAAGGGTCCAATGGTAGGCTAGGAGGGCAGGAAGTTCCCCTAAAATTTCAAAACGTCATGAAAAACGTTAATCGAAAGTTTCCTTACCTAACCTTTCCGAGTAAGCCGGAGGACACAAACAGAAAACGGGACAGTACGTCACTTTCGTGAGCCGATTTCATTTTAAATTACGTCCATTTTTGGCCATAGCGCGCATACCAGTGAGAAGCGACGTTATTTTTAAGAGCACGGGTTACATATATACAATCAATCTAAATTATTGACGGACATTCACTACAGTGTTAAGACTACATATGTTAGTAATTCAAATTAAAGCAAATACAGCTTAACTGTATAGTTGATTAAGACCTTTACAACCAGATATGATCACGAGAGAACACGCCAACCGAGTCTCCGTATGGGTGAGGCAGACTTCAACACATGTTACTTGTTGTACCAGTTGATTAAGCCAGTGTCTGGGATGCTCCCGGACGCAGGTTCGAATCCTCGACACGGCCCTTGTGGATTTGTTCATTTGATGCATCACGTTAGTGTGATCTGTGTGTGTAGCTAGTGCTAATTCTTCCCCCCCCCCCCCCTTCAGTTACACCTGGCACTCGCAATAATAATCGTAAGCTATATATATGACAGCTATATCAAGGGAAATATTATAATAAAATATTATAAAACAGCAGCAATATTATCTGCCTGTTGTATTAAATGTTAGTATATTGTGTTGGGGTTTTCGACAATTAAAGAGGAGTTTATTACAGACGACGAGAACAGAGTTTCAGAAATACTGAAACTCCGTTTTTCTATCCTGCTCACCGGAGGTTCTGCAGTTTCCAGTGTGGAATAATAATCTATATAAAAAAAGGAGTACACAACGCTTCCGTTGCTTCCTTCAGTATTCATGGCGATATTTATAGTCTGACCCTTCAGGCCTCAGTTACATGCAGTTCTTGTAATTGTTCCCTTCTGGCGTCACTGCAATTTCAAAGACTTTCCTGTGGATGGGGGAGATGGGTGACTATTTCGTTACATTATTTTTGTTAGCTCTTAGTGACAGGTAGGGTTCCAGCTTAAAGATTTTGGGGAAGCTTTTGTTACGCTGCTCACATGCTTCCTTATCACTCTCTAGGGCACTCTCCCCCATCCCTCCCCTCCCCTCACTTCTCTTCTTCTTGTGGAGTTTGATCACCAGGTTTTCCAGTCTACTTCCTCCTGATGAGGCTAAGGAACAGTTCCGGCTGTGACAGTCTTGGACTCTGTGGCATTCTCGTACTGCTTTTCTGCCTCTCCTAGTTTGTGTACCTGATCCTCGCCCTTATTTATACATTGTGAGTTTCTTCTCATCTGTGATCAATATATTTCCTCCAGAATCTTTTACATCTCTGTGACAAAAAACTAGAACACTAGAATTATAACATAAAATTTTACCGTCATAAATAAGTCAGTAACAACCAAAATGATTGAAGCAAATCTTGCCGGTCAATGAGTATCAAACACGTAAACAAAGTACAATACATTATAACAGGAGTTTCTGGACGATCTCAGGAACACGAGAAGAAAAGGATATAAACTACTTTATATTTTATATACAAATTTACCTAGCATGACTATACATTTTTCCAAATACGGGTAGAAAATTGGCCATTACCACCAGGAAATTGGATGATGATCATGCACTTTGGGAAGACTAATTTGGTTTTCCCCGTAGCACGAGGTAGGATGTGTATGATATGGCCCTTGGGGCACTTAAATATATAATAACGTAATTGGGTAAATATCATAGCCGGCTTGGCAGTTACTTTGGAGGTTCAACATGCTTATATTTTTTATTTTGCAAACTGCAAAGCCACAAAATACACACATTGGTACTTCTAGAGTACTTGATCCCAGTACCGCATCATGAGGGGAAACTTTTTTGGCTATTGCAAACTTCTTTTTAACGTTACTATCCATCTGCCTGCTTGAAGTTCTCCCTTCTTTAGATAGGAACGAAATTTGATAGAAAACGGGACTGACTGATGAAGGTGAAGCCACTAGAAGAGATGGCACGGGCATGAGTAACCCGGAGGTCTGCACAGTGCTTCTGTGACTTCATTTAGAGAGTGAGGCGATAGTTAATCTGGTCCTTCAGCCTGTCGTTGTTCCCTTACGTCTGTTCGCATCACTGCCGTCTCAACGAGTCCTTCATGTGAAGGAATGGGTCGGGGGGGGGGGGGGAGGGGGGGTGAAGGTTGTCCATTCAATTAGGTCTCTTAACTCTTAGTGGCAGGGAGGGTTCCAGCTTAAAGATTTCTTGGAAGATTATCTTAAGGTTCCTCGCATGCTTCCTTATCATTCTCAGGGACCCACCTTCCCTCCTCCTGTGGAGTCTAATCACTTAGATTTTTTTTTTACTTCTATAGTGTTTACTTCGGGCACTGTTGTTTCACTGTTGGAGCATGCAGCTCCCTACACCACACTCCAAGCACTGTTGCTTCACTGTTGCAGCGTGCAGCTCCATACACCACACTCCAAGCACTGTTGCTTCACTGTTGCAGCGTGCAGCCCCCTACACCACACTCCAAGCACTGTTGCTTCACTGTTGCAGCGTGCAGCTCCATACACCACACTCCAAGCACTGTTGCTTCACTGTTGCAGCATGGGACTCCCTACACCACACACCAAGCACTGTTGCTTCACTGTTGCAGCATGCAGCTCCATATACCACACTCCAAGCACTGTTGCTTCACTGTTGTAGCGTGCAGCTCCCTACACCACACTCCAAGCACTGTTGCTTCACTGTTGCAGCATGGCGCTCCCTACACCACACTCCAGGCACTGTTGCTTCACTGTTGCAGCGTGCAGCTCCCTACAGCACACACCAATCACTGTTGCTTCACTGTTGCAGCATGCGGCTCCCTACACCACACTCCAAGCACTGTTGCTTCACTGTTGCAGCATGCGGCTCCCTACACCACACTCCAAGCACTGTTGCTTCACTGTTGCAGCATGCAGCTCCATACACCACACTCCAAGCACTGTTGCTTCACTGTTGCAGCATACAGCTCCCTACACCACACTCCAAGCACTGTTGCTTCACTGTTGCAGCATGCAGCTCCATATACCACACTCCAAGCACTGTTGCTTCACTGTTGCAGCATACAGCTCCCTACACCACACTCCAAGCACTGTTGCTTCACTGTTGCAGCGTGCAGCTCCCTACACCACACTCCAAGCACTGTTGCTTCACTGTTGCAGCATGCAGCTCCCTACACCACACACCAAGCACTGTTGCTTCACTGTTGCAGCATGCGGCTCCCTACACCACACTCCAAGCACTGTTGCTTCACTGTTGCAGCATGCGGCTCCCTACACCACACACCAAGCACTGTTGCTTCACTGTTGCAGCATGGGGCTCCCTACACCACACTCCAAGCACTGTTGCTTCACTGTTGCAGCATGGGGCTCCCTACACCACACTCCAAGCACTGTTGCTTCACTGTTGCAGCATGGGGCTCCCTACACCACACACCAAGCACTGTTGCTTCACTGTTGCAGCATGGGGCTCCCTACACCACACACCAAGCACTGTTGCTTCACTGTTGCAGCATGCGGCTCCATACACCACACTCCAGGCACTGTTGCTTCACTGTTGTAGCGTGCAGCTCCCTACACCACACTCCAGGCACTGTTTTCTGACTGCAGATAATTATCGTGGATTATGGCGGTGAAAGTGAACAATATACTCGGGTGAGAGAGTATTGTTGGCCGAAGATTGCCGGGTTTTGTTTAGATTTAAGGCTGCGATCACGGAATAAAACAACGTGGTTAAGGGAGGATGAAGATGAGGTCAACACTGCTTGGCTTTACGGTGTGTGTTGATCTCCGGCACTCCCCGGGCACCACACACACCAGGGGTGGTGGGGGGGGGGGGGAGGGGAGGGGGGTTTATTATAGAGCGGTCAAAATTGTGGAAAGTTGAGGTGGAGACCACTTTTCTCTATCTCTTTCTGTCTGTCTGTCTCTGTCTGTCTGTCTGTCTGTCTGTCTGTCTGTCTGTCTGTCTGTCTGTCTGTCTGTCTGTCTGTCTGTCTGTCTGTCTGTCTGTCTCTGTCTCTCTCTCTCTCTCTCTCTCTCTCTCTCTCTCTCTCTCTCTCTCTCTCTCTCTCTCTCTCTCTCTCTCTCTCTCTCTCTCTCTCTCCCCCCCCCCCCCTCTCTCTTTCTCTACATCTCTCTCTTTCTCTACATCTCTCTCTCTCTCTACATCTCTCTCTCTCTCTCTCTCTCTCTCTCTCTCTCTCTCTCTCTCTCTCTCTCTCTCTCTCTCTCTCTCTCTCTCTCTCTCTCTCTCTCTCTCTCTCTCTCTCTATATATATATATATATAATAAATGTAAGAGTCTTTCTTGTAAACATATGTAGTTGGTTATGACCGAAAGAGTAAGATTAATGATTCTAACACGAATCTTCACAATATTTGTTACGTTTTTCTTCACTGTCGAGGATAGTTGAAAAATTAACCCTCCAAAGTTCATTTTCACACTTTATTTATGGTCTGACGCCTAGAAGCGTTTCGCAAGACACTTCTTACATATTCAAAGACAATTTTACCTACTCCGTTAATGCTTGTATTCGTTTTTGGAGTGAGGTGATAGGACATGAATTAATGGGTGCTTTGCTTGTTTGATTTTCTTGCTTCTGTGTTGGTTCGGGGTCTTGAAGTGGGTAAAATGTAAGTGTGCTAACTGGCTGTTGATGCCTGGTTTTGACTTTGTGATGTGTAGGGCCTCGCTGATGTCGAGTTTCCTGTTTTCGCTGTACCTGTCGATAATTTTTGAGTTGCTTGTTAAGACTTCTCTGGTGATGGTCTGGTTGTGTGAGGAGATTATTTGTTCTTTGATGGAGCCCTGTTATTGGTGCATTGTATGACCCTCTATATATGACCCTCTCGGTCATATTCAACAATATATATATATATATATATATATATATATATATATATATATATATATATATATATATATATATATATATATATATATATATAATCGAAAAGAAGGAAGTCTCATTAGCGGAGATGAGTGACCAATTTGTCCAGTAATTAGCAAGGAGTTATTTCATGCTAACATGAATTAAATTTTGCATTAATGGGAAAATTGGCGCCGGTGTCGCGTAGGAGAAATGAGGACATGACTGTTATGATTCAGTGATGATGTTCACTGTTGCAGCTGATGACCAAACTGTGCGTGTTCGAATTGTGTGTGTGTGTGTGTTGATATTTGTTGCGTGTGTACTCACCTAGTTGTGCTTACGGGGGTTGAGCTCTGGCTCTTTGGTCCCGCCTCTCAACTGTCATTCAGCTGGTGTACAGATTCCTGAGCCTATTGGGCTTTATCATATCTATATTTGAAACTGTGCATGGAGTCTGCCTCCACCACAACACTAATGCATTCCATTTTTTAACTACTCTGACACTGAAAAAATTCTTTCTAACGTCTCTGTGGCTCATGTGGGTACTAAGTTTCCACCTGTGTCCCCTTGTTCGTGTTCCACCCGTGCTAAAGAGTTTGTCTTTGTCCACCCTGTCAATTCCCCTGAGAATTTTGTAGGTGGTTATCATGTCTCCCCATACTCTTCTATTTTCCAGGGATGTGAGGTTCAGCTCCCTTAGCCTTTCCTCGTAGCTCATTCCTCTCAGTTCCGTGACCAGTCTGGTGGCATACCTCTGAATCTTCTCTAACTTTGTCTTGTGTTTAACTAGGTATGGACTCCAGGCTGGAGCTGCATACTCCAGGATTGGTTTTACATAAGTGGTATGCAGGGTCCTGAACGATTCCTTACACAAGTTTCTAAAGGCAGTTCTTATAATGGCCAGTCTAGCATATGCCGCTGATGATATCCTTTTGATGTGGGCCTCTGGGGACAGGTTCGGTGTAATATCGACCTCAGATCTTTCTCTCTATTTGACTCTAGTAGGATTTCACCTCCCAGATTGTGCTAGACAAGGTACGGGCTCCATGCTGAGGCCGCATACTCTAGGATTGGTCTTTCATATGGCGTGTACAAGGTTTTGAATGATTTCTTGTACAGATTCCTGAAGGCTGTTCTGATGTTAGCCAGCCTCGCATACGCCGCCGATGTTATTCTTTTTATGTGTGCTTCAGGAGACAGTTTTTTCGTGGTATCAACTCGTATCATACCATGTGTATGTGTGTCACCCCATGATGCACTCCCCATGCTGACAGTCCAGGATATACTATCGTGCTGACAGTCCATGATACACTCTCCCATGCTGACAGTCCATGATATATTCCCCATGCTGACGCCCCATGATGCACTCCCCATGCTGACAACCCAATTTTATTCGACATGCTGACACCACCTCCATCGACAGCCCTCTAGATGCTACCACCAACTCTTCCCTGAAACACACTCATCACACTACACTAATTTCTCTCTCTCCGATTCTGTGCCTTTTTCTCACACACACACACTCGCCCCACTCTATCACACTCTGACCACTCTTCACATTCACAATTCCCTACTCTGAAAACCCCCCTTTCTTCCCCCTCCCTATTCTGGCATCTTGACACCCTTTTCCCCAGTTCCTGAGAGCTATGGGGAGCTACACAACCCATGACTGGAAGAGCCCAGACCGTGGGACGTGTCACAACTGGGGCGAAATCAACGTTGTCGTTTATTAAATTTAAAATTAGAATGCTTGCGGGGCGAGAGGCAGACGGAATTGCGTTCTTGCCATGATGCTTGACCCTCCAAGTTTGTGTTGGTGTGGCTGACCTGACGAGCAGGAGACGAGGCCGGTCCAGGGGTTGTGGTAGATGTGGCTCATGACGAGGGAGAGGGAGGGAGTGAGAGAGAAAGTGAGAGAGAGAGAGAGAAAGTGAGAGAGAGAGAGAGAGAGAGAGAGAGAGAGAGAGAGAGTGAGAGAGAAATAGGCTAACAGATTTACGGAAGAATACATAGCTCCAGGACACACAACACTTAAGATTAAAACACTAAAAGACATGGCAGGCCACGCCAGGGCGCGCAGGGCCACGCCAGGGCGCGCAGGGCCACGCCAGGGCGCGCAGGGCCACGCCAGGGCGCGCAGGGCCACGCCAGGGCGCGCAGGGCCACGCCAGGGCGCGCAGGGCCACGCCAGGGCGCGCAGGGCCACGCCAGGGCGCGCAGGGCCACGCCAGGGCGCGCAGGGCCACGCCAGGGCGCGCAGGGCCACGCCAGGGCGCGCAGGGCCACGCCAGGGCGCGCAGGGCCACGCCAGGGCGCGCAGGGCCACGCCAGGGCGCGCAGGGCCACGCCAGGGCGCGCAGGGCCACGCCAGGGCGCGCAGGGCCACGCCAGGGCGCGCAGGGCCACGCCAGGGCGCGCAGGGCCACGCCAGGGCGCGCAGGGCCACGCCAGGGCGCGCAGGGCCACGCCAGGGCGCGCAGGGCCACGCCAGGGCGCGCAGGGCCACGCCAGGGCGCGCAGGGCCACGCCAGGGCGCGCAGGGCCACGCCAGGGCGCGCAGGGCCACGCCAGGGCGCGCAGGGCCACGCCAGGGCGCGCACCATTAAGACACAAAACTTCAGGTGACACAGAGGTCCGGTAAAGTCGCAGGAGAGGTCAGTAAGCCTGAAGGAGATGGGTCAGTAAGGCTGAATGTGCGGCGAGGGAGAGGTCACCAGGTCAGGAGGCGGCGAGGGAGAGGTCAGGAGGAGGCGTCGGCGGCGGCGAGGGAGAGGTCAGCAGGTCAGGAGGAGGAGGAGGCGGCGGCGAGGGAGAGGTCAGCAGGTCAGGAGGAGGCGGCGGCGGCGAGGGAGAGGTCAGCAAGTCAGGAGGCGGCGAGGGAGAGGTCAGCAGGTCAGGAGGAGGAGGAGGCGGCGGCGGCGGCGGCGGCGGCGAGGGAGAGGTCAGCAGGTCAGGAGGAGGAGGAGGCGGCGGCGAGGGAGAGGTCAGCAAGTCAGGAGGAGGAGGAGGAGGAGGCGGCGCCGGCGAGGGAGAGGTCAGCTCGTCAGGAGGAGGAGGAGGCGGCGGCGGCGAGGGAGAGGTCAGCAGGTCGGGCTGGAGACGGGTCAAGACGCCAAAGGTCGCCCGCGGGCACACAAAAATCACGCCCGGCAGTAACACCAACACGGGGATTAAACGTTATGAGACTTGATGGTTATTTACTGCAGGAAGTTCCCCTAGCTGTGCCCCCCCCCCAGCTGCGCGCTCTCTCTCTTCATCTGTGTGTGTGTGTGTGTGTGTGTGTGTGTGTGTGTGTGTGTACGTACGTACGTACGTACGTACGTACGTACTGTCGAGCAGGTCGTGGGTTGACTGACACAGATGTAGGAATGCTGTCTCGCGGATATGTGAATTTTTTCCAGTATGTGGGGGGGGGGTACCACCTCTGGTACCATTGTGCGGACCCATAGCCTCGGAGAAGGTAATAAAGAGCATTCAGAAAAAACTTGCCGTTTCACTCTAAATATTTATGAGTATTCGCTTCTACCACCTCTCTTGTATTATTGTTGTACACTTTATTATACAAGGTTACACAGCTGATTGGGAACAAAATGTGGACATTAAGAGGAAATAAGGGGAAGTTTGTTTCCTAGAGGCTGTAAGTTTCTTTTACTCCTCTGACGCCGGGCAGGAACCGAGAATGCAGTGGACACTGCCCCTCTGGATCACCGCACTGAGGCGCTGGAAAAGAAAACTCGCCACTCAAGGGTCTCTTGTTGTTTCAATGAGCCTGGAAACAAGACCCTTAAGAAGCCACCTTGCACACTCTTCCCTGGACCAAGGGTCTCGGATCTTATTGGATCAAAGTTGTACTGGAGATCTATTTCCCCGTACTTGATTGATTTGTCTGTGTGTGTGTGTCCGCTGCTCCTGCTTGACCGACAAAGAGGGTGATGCGTGTTTACCTTGGCAGCCACATACAAGTATAGTCGCATACTAATGGTCTACCATTTTTCCGCGGGTGTGGTGGTGTGATTCCATCTGGTCGACCCGCAAAGCCAGCAGACTTATGTTTGTTAGATTGCAAGGCTCTCTCTCTTCTGGACATGGGGCAGAGGCAAGGCTCCCCTTAATGATGTCATTAACTTTGTCGTGCCTTAAGTGCCAACCCCATGTTTTTTTTGCAGTGCAGGCTGTGCGATCCATATTCGTCTGCATTTGCCTGACTGCAAATACATCTATATATAGTGTAGATTGGGGCAACAAGGCGAAATGTGACTGCAATACGGAGCTCCTGCGGATCAAAACTTGTGCCTGTTGCAGACATTGGGACTACCAAAAGGAAGTCCCTTGCATGAGAAGCCCGCACAGCTGTGAGGCGAGGACGATCACTGGAGGTTGTCGTTGCTGCCTCCAGCAAAGCTGTGGATTCTTTGTCTACGATGGGGCTGTCCCAGCTGGTTTGTTTGTTGGCTTTCAGTAGGTATGACCTGAGTGCTGGGTCTGACAGGGTACCCCCATTTTGTGATGTGTATCATATAGTGTGGGTCATGATAGTCCCATAGAATTTCCTTGACCAGCTCATCCGATGTCGAGGAAGACGACAGGAAGGCTGTGGCAGCAATTTGAGTGGCAGTGCGGACGCCAAGGCCACCGAGTCCGACTGGAAGAGTGACTTCTTTCCCCTGACTGTCATTAAGGGAAAGGTTGACAACTTTTGGTAGCATGGAATTTATTAAGAAGCCATACTCTCCAAGTATTGTAAGATGTGATTCCTCGGAAATAAGGATAGCCTTGGAAGGGATAGGCATCTAGCAAGGAAAAAAAAAGCACCATGAGCATCGATGTCACCAGTCCTATCTTCCATCCTCCTTAGGTCCACGATTTTCTTGTCAAAGATCTCGCCAATGTATTTAGACCCGAGAGGAGCTCCAAGGAGAGTGCTGCCTGCAGGCCTAATGACATGGACGCTGGGTATGACTGATCTCACTCTAGCCATAATGTCTGAGTTTGGAGAGAGAACTTCACACTAGGAGGGGTCCGGAGAGAAACCCTCGTTCACTTCTTGCTCCTTTATATCTTTGATATCTTCCAAGAGGTGGGTCTAGAGGGCCAGCTATAGTGCCATCGTCCACAAACCAGATGTTGAACTCGCTGGACAAGCTTTCTGTGATTTCTTTTAAGATTATATTTATAAATTTCCTTTAAAACTATATATTCTTTACTGCCAGACACACGGATGAACATTACATTATCAAAATAATGAATGGAATACATTAAAATATTATTTAAAACGCTCAGATATAAGTTAACTTGTCTCATAATAATGTCTTCAGGTGTCCGATGGGTGACATAGCAGCTCGTCCTCCTAATAGCACGTCGCATTTTGACGTATACGCTACCTAAGGCCAAAAAATGGTCGTACTAGAAAATAATAGCGGCTCGTGAAAGTAACATATTGTCCCGTTTTCTGTTTTGGGTCCTCTGTTACGTTAGAATAAGAGCACTTTAGGACGACCGTTTCCAGACGTTGGGAAAACTTAGGAGGACGAGCTGGACAAAGAGGGATCCCCTGCATCATGATAATGGAAACAAACATGTTTGTTTGTGCATACAAACACCAACAAACATTCAAACCACCATCACAATAAACCCCGAGAGTATAGCATCCTATACCAACTGGTTAATAACACATTGTATTACCTTAATTAAATTCGTTGAATATAAGAGAGGTTACATTTTATATAAATTAAATTAACTGATAAAATAACTAGGAATTACAGGGGGCGTTATCTGAGCGATAGTAACGGCCAGAGGTAACCAGTGTTAAAATAATATATATAAATAATAAGGAATGGAAACAAATGTTCATTAAACTAATTGGAACAGTTGATTTCCTTTTTTACGTAAAAATAAAAAAAAAATTGGAATTAGTTATTTTTTAATTTTGAGAGTTACTGAATGTAATCAGACTCGTTTAGCAATGTCAATGACCGCAAGATATCATTTACGTCGATATTTGACGCTGCAAAGGAACGTTGCCAGCTTCTCAGGAGATGAATGACACTGTCTATGGGCCGGGAGGAGGGGGGGGCCATCTTTGTTTAATGAGAATAATTTATACTGTTTAATTATGTTGTGTGTGTGTGTGTGTGTGTGTGTGTGTGTGTGTGTGGACGCTGCCGTCATTGTATCTGAGGATTTAGTGAATGTGTGTGCTCACCTAGTTGTGCTTAGGGGGGATTGAGTTTCGGCTCCCTGGTCCCACCTCTCAGTTTTCAACCAACTGGTGTACAGATTCTTGAATCTATTGGGCTCTATCATATCTACATTTGAAACTGTGTATGGAGTCACCCTCCACCACATCACTGCCTTCTGACTTTCACTTGTTAACTACAATGACACCGAGACATTATAAATTCTTTCTAATGGTTCTTTGGCTCATTTGGGTAATCAGTTTTCACCTGTGTCCTCTAATTCTTGTTCCATCCGTCTTAATAGAATAGGTTGTTCACTGTGTCAATGAGAATTCTGTAGGTGGTGATCATGTCTCCCCTAACTCTTCTGTCTTCCAGGGACGTGAGGATTAATTTCCGTAGGCTTTCCTCGTAACTCTCACCTCTCAGCTCTCGGTCTTGTCTGGTGACTTACCTCTGAATCTTCTCAAACTTGTCTTGTGTTTAACTAGGTACGGACTCCAGGCTGGAGCTGCATGTCCCAGAATTTGTCTGACATATGTAGTATACAAAATTTTGCATGATTCCTTGCACAAGTTTCTAAAGGCCGTTCTTACGTTGGCCAATCTAGCATACGCCGCTGATGATATCCTTTTGGTGTGGGCCTCTGGGGACAGGTTCGGTGTGATGTCAACCTACAGATCTTTATCTTTACTAAGCGCTTGAAGGATTTCACCTCCCAGACGTGGTACCTTGTGTTCGGCTTCTTGCACCTTTCACCTTTCACTTAATTCCATTACATTTATATGAGTTTAACTTAAGCAGCCATTGTCAAGGCCATTCCTCCAGTTTGTCCAGGTTATCTCGTAGTCTTTCTTTCTTCCTGTCTTGATCCTTCTCGTAATTTTTGCATTACCAGCAAACATTGAGACGGATGGGCCCTTAAATACAGAGCCCCGTGGGACTCCGCTGCTGACATCTCGCCACTCTGAGGTCTCCCCCCCTCACACTAACTCGCTGTTTCCAGTTGCTTAGATACTCCCTTATCCACTGCAACACCTTACATGTTATTCTTGCCTCTTTCCTCCAACTTTTGTAACAGCCTCTTGCGGGATACTGTGTCAAAAGCTTTCTGGCAGTCTAAGAAAATGCACTCTGCTCACCGTTCTCCTGCCTAATTTTTATCTTCTGGTCATAGAGGACCAGAAGACACCTGCACTAAACCAATGAAGCACGACTTGCCATCCCTGAACCCATGCTGGTGGTGTGTTAAAAAGCTCCTTTTCTCCAGATGTTCTACAAACTTTTTCCTTAAGATCTTTTTCATCACCTTGTATTGTATACAAGACAATTAACGTGTTCAGTGCCTGTCACTCTTTTTTTTTGTATATCAAGACTTAAATAGTTGTCTAAATAGTGGCACACTTAGTGCTTCTGCACCTTTGTTT